CCCTATTACGTCATGAACACGATTGAATATTGTCTTTGTACTTCGGTATGAAAACATACACCTGACCTTTTTGGTTCTATGTTTATTAGTTTGGAGCGGGGATAGTAAGTAGAGGTCTGTCACTGACACGTGTTGCACAAAGGCCAATTTTTTTCGTGCCATGCATTTGCCAACTTGAAACATCTGTGGCGCCTTCGAGACATCCGGCTCTGTGGAGGGTCGAATATATGCTGCAGCAGTTAGGCCAGTGCTGCTTTACGGCGCAGAGACTTGGCAATTACGGGAACAGGATAAAAATAGGCTGTCAGTGCTCGAACATTGCTGTCTACGTAGCATTGCACTAGTGTGGTGGGGAAACCGGACGAGTAATTGGGAGGTTAGGCGTAAAGTTCTAGGTAATCCAGGTCGTCCACTGGAGCAGGTGCGCGACCTTCATAGAATACGCTGGTTGGGACATGTACTACGCATGTTACCAGATAGGTTGTCACGGCGAGCGATTTTTGCCGAGGCAGGTAGCGGTTGGAAAAAGAGCAAGGGCGGTCGAACTACACCTGGCATGAGGGTATCAAAACCCTGATCAAGAGACTGGCTCACATAAGTCCCGTTAGGCTCCCTAGCTGGGGACCCCGAGATCAAGGTCACCGATGGTTAGAGACACTGAGTGATATGGCTGGGTGTCGTAAACAGTGGCGGTCATGCATCCACTCTTTATTCTCTTAGCTTTATCCTGAATTCTCCATCTTCCGCTTGAATCTGTTCTCAACATTCCAATCTTCATTTTGCTCTTTTATCCAAATGGGCAACCAAAAGACAGAAACCAAAACAGTTGTAAGAACTGAACTGAACTCATACTAGTTACTATATCCGACAAAATCCATGACAACTCGGGATAAGAATTGTAAGGATATTAGAAAGTTACGTTTGAGTTAGCCCATTCAGTTTGTGCAGGCAATAGCTAAGTACGTCAGTTATGAAACCTAAAACTGCATGAATAGCTGTATTTACTGTAAAAGTAACTTAAAACTCAGTCCCCAAACTTTCGGTTGCTTTGAGTTATTTTGTACGCTTTAGAATATGCTCCCATGATACGATGTCAATCACATTCATCTCGTGTTCTGATTTCCATTGATGAATTGTTTACGAATTTCTGGAATCCACTTTCGATTTTCACGATTCCGTTCGCTGTGATCAATTGAACTGCACCATATCGGCTTGAGTAACCCCATCCCCTATTAACCGTTTTGACCGTGTGATCGCTCTCTCAGTAGTTCTAAATGTTGGTCACACATTGTATTTACCAAAGGATTTATAATCCGTCAGCTCACCCGGATGCTTCGTTTCTCTCAGGTATACGCATCGTAATCAAACAATACCTGTCTCTGTGTTTCTTCATGTCACTGTGACCGTCGCATGCACATCTATCCCTCAGATATGCACACAAATGTCCTCCACCCGCACACGTGAATTATGGAATCCAGTAG